TCAAGGTTCATGGAAAATATTTTTTCTTAATCATAGCATTTCCACACATTTCCTTGAAGTTGGAAGCGTATATGCATCCGTATGCATGCAATGGCCTGATCCTCCGAAGTTAAACAAAAACTTAGTCCATGCACGTAACTTTTGGCGCAATTTAGTGTATATGTGTGCATGCGTCTGAATCTCCGCTGTTGTTCCTGATCCTGGAAAGTAATGTTTTTATAACTTTTTATATATTAAACAAAATTTATTTAAATCTTTTTTTATGGTTTTTGTTGGTTTAAGCAATTTTCAGCTGTTATTAGATGCATATTTGTTTAAGCGTGGTAAGCTTAAAATATTTGTTTTATATATGTATATTTATATGTGAGTATTTTACTCAAAGTGCATATATATTACTTTCAATATGTATGCAAATGTCAACATCTAGACAAGGTATACGTATGTGTTATTCATTTGTAATGCAATATAAAGAGATGCACATATATAATGTAACAAATAAGAAACTTTTGCTTTTTCCAAAGTTCAAGAGAAACTTTCAAGAACAACTCTTTTATTGCATTTCTATTTTCTTTGTCATGCAGCCAAAAGTGCAGTGTCCCAGTTGGGCGTGGTACTAACCAATGTTGTAGTTCAAAGATCCTTTATTTAGATTTCAAAGTTTCTACATTTACTTTTGTTATATTTCTGCTTGCATGTTACCATATTTTTTTGTTAGCTTGTTTCTTTAAACAACGTTTTTTACCAGCTTTCGGTCTTACTTGCTCTTTTTTTTTGCATCCAACATTTTAGTAACATGGAAGGATTTGACATATTCTAGACAGCTGCAATAATTGCAAAAAGATTTTCCAAGCTGCTTGTGCATTTCAAGTTCTAATGTTGTTTTTACTTTGCGTCGAGTTTTAAAGTTCATCCTAGCAATCATATAAACTTTAAATTAAATTCTGTTGGACTTTGGTTGAGCGGTCAAAGTTGGAAGGAAACTCATTGATTGGGCAATAAAATTTGTAATATTTTAAAACAAATTAAAAAGCCAATCTGAAAGATAAGATGAGGAAATTTAAAAATAACTTTATGGAATAAAAGAGTTTTTGAATGAGCCAACATTCTCACAAAAGTTTTGTTGTCTTTGATTATGTCAAAAACCATTTGTAATTTTCTGTATTTTTTCCTTGTAATACCCTGTAAAATTAAAAACGAGAATATATTTAATATCTAAATATAATTCGATAATTCAAGAAATTATATTGGTCATTTTTTGTTAAACAAAGGACACCTAAAACATACTTTCTTTTAATAGAGTGTGAAAGAAAGCATTCAAATGACTTCTTATTAAATCTCTTTATAAGAGAATCAGAAAGAAATTATTAGAAAGTATATATTTACGAAAGTAAAACTTAAAAAGTAAATCATAAATTCAGTTAGTAGTAGAAAATTTATTAACTAATTAACATGAATAAAACCTATATCAGAGATAATATATCTCTTGTAACCAGTAATATCTTAACAAGCAGCCATGCCAGAGACTTAGAGTTCTAACAACATTTGTAACCTCTGTAAATAGGACGAGGAAAATTAGCAAGCTTCTCTCTATTGTTCAGATATTAACCCTGGTAAAAGCAGGACCACAATTCAAGGAAATGCCTTATTGGTGACCCCAAAAAATATTTTGAAACTGATGTCGGAAACTCAATAAATTCTTGAAGCAAATAAAATAGTTAACATGATACAGTTAGCTCTTCAATCAGAAATATATGGATATCTTTAACGAGAACCCAATGATAAAAAAATGGATCCATGTTGGGTTATGTTGAGTTTGTCACAGATTTACCTCGAATCAAAATGAATTTAACAAAACATTAACTATATTACTAAGCTTTGTTTATATATCATATTTTGTTTACACTGTAACAATTAACTTGGCATTAATGTACATTTTTTAATAAATACCAGTTTTCATGTCGAATTCATTTAAAACATGTACCAAAATGTGCTAATCAACAACTACTTATTTTAAAAAAAATATAAACCATGTGCATTTTATAAAGAGATTACAATTCTCATTATGTTTGCAGTTTATTTCAATAGATAGTGCAATAAGGTTCATTAGAATTAATTAATACCATGTTCATAAAATTTAAAATTGTTCCAGTGTCTATCTTTATCGCTTTGATAATACAAGATTAAAGAAAATGCTCTTTTAAGCTTAGTGAACTCTAATCGCCACCTGGACACATAAAAAAAGTTATACTCTGCACACGATTAGTTTTACAAATAAATTTATAACATAACAACAATCACATGGTTTTAAAGGCAGAGACGTCGTTTTTCAGTCTACACATATAAATGAAATACATAAAAAAAAGAATAAATAAAAGAAAACAAATATGAAAGCCAAGTCCAAAACTGTAGTGGATACGCAATCTTTTACGACCGTCTTGAATGTTGCTTTCTAATTAACAAAAATATGATAGGTGTCAACACGGTTGCCACTTGAAAATTTTTTCCTGTACCAAAATTGGTTTAAAAAGGTACCATTTCTGTAAAAAAGGTCCAAAATTTTTTTGTGCTTTTTTTATAAAAAAATTAATTGGAAATGTACCATTTTTTGAACATGAGTACCAAACGAAAAAAAATGTACCAATTTTGGTACTAAAGTACCATAAGTGGCAACCGTGGGTGTCAATGCTATTCGCATTAGTTTTTGAATGACTTAAAGTATAGTTTAGTAAATATCTAACTATATGTTATACATTTTCAGTTTTTCATGTGGTACATTTGAGAATACCTTGGTCGTTGTGCGGTACTTATGTTAGATTAAGAACATATGACAATGTCCCAAGATTTCAATCGTTTGCAGGTAAACAAATGCATTTGATAATCATCATATCACTATAGGGTTGTTGCTCTTACGTTATTTTACTATATAATAGTATGCACATAATAGTTGCAATGGAACTAAATATATTACAATTTCAGCAGTATCATTCTAATTTTCATATTTTATATTTCTTCTTTGAAGACAGAATTTTGGACCGCCTGATTCTGTTAGCCGCAGACTACAGGCTATCTTATACACGGAATTGCTTACAATATCAATCTGGAAACATTTTTCATTGTACCAATTAATTTGACGAGAAGAGTTTGGATATAGTCACATATTGACATTGATTTATAAGTGGGTGCATTGGGCCGGGAACTTTAAAGCGATCTTTACATGTGATTTCTACAGCGATTATGCGGGAGAGATCTGGGCAGCTTCTCGCTTTCATGCTCTCGCTCTCACGGCCGCTGGATAAGTATAAAGCACGTGTAAGGTGAGCTTTTAAGAAACTTTGAGCCTTGGTTTTAACATCAGTTTAAAAAGAAATTTAATGTATGGTATTATAAAAATAAATTCAAATACAAAACAATTATAAAAATAAATTAAAATACAAAAAAAACTATATAAAAAAAATAAATTAAAATACAAAAAAAACTATTATAAAAATAAATTAAAAAATACAAAACTATATAAAAATAAATTAAAATACAAAACTATATCAACGACGTATCATTTAAAGGGTGGATATATTATTGCCCACTAGTGTAATTGGAACTAAAATGCTGTTATTTCAACACATGTCCTTCAGAAACATGTCTTTTACCAATCAAAAAGTGGTAATCTGAGTTCATGTTAATTAATCAAAAATTTTATAGATTCAACAGTTAGGTAAAATGACACCACAAATAATAATATTTGCCTCAAGTGAGATCGACTTATCAGAAATTAATTCCTTCGATGTTTTGCGTTGAAGGCATCTTTAGTCTATCCAATTACTTGATAGTTAGATTTTTTTTTGTTTTGATGTATACGGATATATTCAATACATTTTTCAAGGTAAAATACACTACTGTGAATAGTAATGCTTGTTTCCAGTCTAATTTATCGTATATGAAAATAATCAATGTAGGTAATAGTCTTTGACTAATAGTTTCTTGAAGTTTTAGTAAAACGCAACATTTTTTTACCTCTGTATTTATGAAATTTATATGCATTAAGTACGCATATAAATCATACACGTTAAATATATGCTATATATATGCCAGAAATATTTGAAATATATAAAATAAAGGGAAATTACATAAAATTTTATATATAAAAAAATTAGTATTTCAAGGAAAAACTTTTGCACGCGCATTTGCATTATTAACAATGCATTTAAATATGTTTTAACTTAAATAAATTTATTATTTTATTATTCAGTTATTTTTTAATTTAATGTTGTTTAATTAGAAAGCGTGTTGAGTAACTATGAATTTACCACACTTTCTAGGACATGCATGCACGCATGTTATAGTAACAATTAATTTACTTTTTCTTAAATTCCAAAAAAATAAATGATTTATTAGTAGAACAATACAATATTGTTCTCAAATTAATTCGTGATAGTAGAATCAAGAAAATTTTTCTATAATATTTAGGATTATAGAAATATTTATATAAGGCATTGCACTAACAATTTTTTCACATCTAGATGATTGGGTCTGCTAGTATCTAATTGGTGAGTGCAAGCACATTTTTTCAGTTCCCACTTTCGAACATTTTCAAAGATGTTTGGCATATGTATGAAATCTGAATAATTTTAAAAGAATGCATTTAAATATTTTTAATTTAAGTCTTGTATGATAAGGTATGTATAGTATGGAATAGGCATGAAAATAACTCTATCAAAATATATAAACAGAGAAATTGAAGAAATTTTAAACCAAGAATCATTTAATATATATCTTTGTACAACCTAATATTAACCATAATTAAATAATGAAAAACTTCTTTAGTCGTTAGCCAACTAAGCTTCATGGCGTCTCTAAAAAGTTAAACGTTACATACAGACAAAACGAATTGATTTAGCTATTCTTCTGAACTGGAAAACATGATGTCATAACATTAACTGAATAAAATAATATATGTACATTCAAAGTAACATAAAAATAATTTTGATTTCAATTTACAATGTTTGTACAAAAATATTTTTTATTTTTAATGAAGAAGTCGTACTTCAGTACTTTTTGTTTGGATATTTTTAAAATATACAATATCTTATTCTGTTCCCTTGTGAATAACAACTCTGCTAATATTAATCACTAGAACCATAGACATTATGAGTAAAGGCTCTGAATTGTTTTTCAAATTCATGCACATAAAAATTTTTACTGTTTCGAATGGTATTGCTGTGGCTTAATTCTTTTGAAATGGGCATATGAGTGTCATTTCTTACTCGTTTTTCTGTATGACTTTTCGAGAATAAGTTTTCAATAGTTTTTATCTCATAATTTCCTTCATCGTAATTGTTTGTTATTAGTTCATAATTTTTTGCAACAATGTGAACATCAAAATTGAGTTTCAACACTGTTAGTTAACTTAGTGGTTTTTATCAACTAATCGACTTTCGCAACCAAACTTTTGAGTACTCTGTACTTCAGAGCTACTCATTTGATGTTGTTGTTTTTCTGAACTAGCAAGATCTTGATCAAAATTCTCGTTTTCATTGTTCAGTACTTCAACATATTGAGTGCTCTCGGTTGTAACATTATCTAAAGAAGCATTAATTTCTTTCATACCACTAGTTTCTAATGAATTCATTGGACAACTCTCTCCTGCTACGAATTGTTGTTGTAAATTTGAATTCTCATCCCATTCGGCACTAATATTACTACTTGAGTTAAGCCTAGAATTCTCTGCAGCTCTATTTCCAACTTCGGCATTATCAACAACTCTATTGAGATCTTGAACGTCTAAGATCATATGCAACGGGTGCCACATTGGACGTGGAATGATATGGATGAGTTGATTGTAAACTATTAATATATTATACAATTAAAATTCAAATTCAGTTGAAAAAATAATGATTATATATACAATATATATAAGGTAAAAGATGTATCTCTTTAATTACGTACAGTTTACGAATGCTTGGTGATAAAGCTGAATTCGATCGTTATCATTTTCGTCTGTATGTGTGAGCTGTACCAGAGCATTCATGAATGGGGCATCATTTGTCAAAATTTCATGCAACGGAAAATATATGGGATTTCTTATTATTTGTGGCTTCATGTTTCGTGACGGACGACCCATTCTAAAGTCTTGAAAAAGTTAACTTGAAATAATTGAAGTATGAGAATAAAAGAGTTTTACTTTTACCTTTTATGTTAAATATGATTTATATATAATTTTAACCTTACTGTTATAAAAAATCTCCTTAAAATTGAAAACTAAAAATTTTTGCAGGTTTGAAATAACGCTTTTAAAAATTTAGTTCACTGGAACAACATAAGTCAATATTTAAAAATTTTAAATTTTCTATGCCGACTTAGATCAAATTTTGAAAAACATATTTTGCAATGCTTAAAAAAATTAAATTGTTAAGTATTCCAAAAAGTTGTGAAAATTCTCACGACCGTGAAAATTCTCACGACCGTGAAAATTTTAAATTTTCAAAATGAGAGAAAGGCATATATTTCGATTAAACTTCGGTCACGAAGACGAACTGTCCATGCCTCATCACATTATTCAAAAAAGGGTTGTCCTCTATTAAAAGCCATTTACAGTACACCAATTAAAGTCATTTTGAATTATTTGTAATATATAAAAAGTGTTTAATAGATAAGCAAGGTGTTAAGGTGTTTAGAGATAAAGTCATCGGCTTGGAAGGTGCTTCCATATGCTAATGCTAATGTTGTTAAAGTTAAGGTAAAAGCTCTCTTCTCTGCAGTACATTAACATATGTTAATGTTTTTAATAGTTGTGATTATTGTATTAAAAATGGTTTAGAGTAATTAAAAATAAACGAAACAAAAGCTGTCACGATAAAAGTGGCTTACAAGGAGCTTTAACTTATTAACTTTTTTTAGTTATTAAAGGGCACTTTAGGTTGGCCTATCACGTAAGTAAACTTTGAACTTATTCTTATACGATTAGATCTTATTGGTTTCGTAAAGGAGAGAGTGAACTCACTTTGAAGAACAAATGAAAAAGATATTAATGTGATCGTATATGATAAGAGAAAAGACTCAGAAAAGTAATTTAGAAGAGCAAAAATGCTCTTCTTCAATCGAAAAAATTTAAAGAGTAACTAATTTTGTAATAAGTCATTTATAGAATCTAATAATATGTATATAGTACCTCCACTATATTTTTCTTCAAGCAAATTTTTACAAATTTACAAATTTGTAACTAAACTTAATTCCCTCATAAAAACAGCTTCCAAAATTTATCTGTTACTGTGAAATCACTTTTCACAAAATAAATTTTTTTTTAATGGATTTTTCTTCACAAATATATTGACTAAGCGAACATTGGCATCACTGTTGCAATGTGTCAAGTATTATGTTGTGGCAAATAGCAAAAATAGCATAATGCAAGCAAATTACATTTTGTGTAAAAAAATAAGTAAATAACATAAATTGAAAATTAAAATAAATACAAAATTAAAAGGAATGGTAAAAAAGTTGGAAATTTTAAAATAAAACACTGAAATTTTTGCTTTTTTCCAGTTTTCAAATTCATGAAATTTCTTAATTTTGTTTAAATTTTTTTTATACATAATTTTTGACATATGATTGCAATATTCGTTGAAATTTCATATGAAGGTTCGCAATAGTTTGCTTATTTTTGCGTTGGTAACACCTTTTTTTCCGGGCCTATGTGCTTGGCCGATGTAGACAAAATAGTATTGTTATTATTATCCGTGTTTATTTTGTTTTTTGCCATACTAGCGAGCCACCGAAAAGGCCTATTGTTGAGATTTGAATTAACTTCAAACAAATTTTGCTTGAATAAATATTTCCTTAGCAATTAATTTTATCTGTATAATACGGCGTTTACATTGGCCGAAAATGGCTCATTTTGAATGACTCATTTGAAAGTGTTTACATTCGTTGTATTTCATTCGTTCTCATGGTAACAATTCAAACTGAAATAAAACTACTAAACATTTGTTTATCTTTTTTGTAAATATGTCAAAACAGCTTTTACAAACTGTCAAAATGCCATGAAGAGCTTTCATTTAGGGTATGTTCAATAGATTCCTTTGCATTTGGAACATATGTGGACTGCATTCGAACGTCATTCATACAGAATGTGAGAAAATTGCTCATTTTGTGCTTGAAATTTTATATGCAAGAATGAGCCATTCGATACTCATTTTCGATTTTTGACCAAAATGAGCCATTTTCGGCCAATGTAAACGCCGTATAAGATTCTGTCCTGACATATTCATGATTTCAATTGCTTGTTTTAATATTATTGCTAGTTAGCTTTGACAAAATTAGTAACATTAAAATACTTGTCAAGTAAAATGTATTTTTTTTATATAATTATTTTTTCTGATCCAATACTTACGGAATTTTGCTCCTATAAGATTTTAATATAAAACTTATATTATATTAAAAATAACATTTTAATATAATCAAAATTATCTTAATATAATAAATTCATATTTGCTAAAACTTTCTAAAAAGTTGTTTTATCTGGTAAAAAAGCGGAGTGATTCAGTTCAATATCATATAACAATGTCTTCCGATAAAAATATCAAGGAATTTGGTGGTGATGATATTTGTCATCAATGTGGATGTCGACATTGTAGTACTTGCATTATGGAAGGAGCTAATGGACATTCAAATATGCAGACCGGGCATGTTAACCGTAATGAGGATCATGAGGATCCCCAATCGTCCTCATTGTATGCACGTGATCGTTGTTGTAGTTCGTCAACTGCAAGAAGTTGCAGGATCCGTAATCACCGACATAGCAGAAGAATGCATCCATATGCAAGATGTAATACCTCTAGTAACAGAACTTTGCAAAACAATTTAAAAAGTGAACAGACCTGGTGTCCAACTTTTGATATACCAGCTGTGGTTGATTATTCATCTCAGATGCTTACGTCAAGAATAAGGTCCAGACTTATGGACGTCAGTAGGATGGAACAAGTGCTGTGTTTACCGAATCATACTACTCAAAGTGAAAAGGCTGAAAACACTACAGAATCAAACACTGAAATCTCACCTGAACTTGACAACTATTTGACTAAAGCAACTGAGAATATTCAAGAAATTCGAACTCCTATGGATATTTTCGAAGAATTCAATGCAAATTATTACAAGGCAATGAATGAAAATGATGAGAAATATAAGGAAAAAGATGATAGCGATGATAAATGAAAAACAATTAAGAAACGTTTAGACCATGCTGTGTATACTAACAAATCAATTGTTTACAAAGGACGTACAATGAAAATGTAGAAAACAGCTCTCTTAGTAAAATTTAAATAAAAAAAATTTATTTTTGTTGATTCATTTTCCCATAAAAACTATATTTTCTTATAAATATACTTAAAACTAATTGCTCAACAAACAGTATTTAAATTATTCAGATAATATAAAGGTGCTCCTCAAAAATAGTGTGGGAATGCCTTCTACTTCTCAAAGACCTTGCTGAAAAGAA